GATTGATTCGTTTTACTCTCTTTCTCTCTTGAGTCTTTGTTTTCTAAATTTTCATTCATGTGGGGGATTGTAGAAAATATTGAATGAAAATCAGTTCATCTCCACTTAAGTTTCAAATTTTATGAAAAACAGTTTCAGCCGTTCTCTTCAGTTTCATCTATTTCTCTTCATTGCTGTAACTCCTCATTCAATGCCTTAAAGAGCTAGCTCCTCCTCCATGGGTATAAATAGAATAGCTCTCGGTTGGAAGGAACACAACAAACATAACAAAGGAAAAAGAAATCAGTTTCCCCTTTTCTCATTTCCAGCAGCCTGTGGTTTCGTTCCTTTTCTTCCTTTGCTAAAATTTTTTGAGAGATAGACACAGCTAGTTAGTAGGCGGTCAACGTAGTGCAGCGTGAACCAACAACTGATTGTATCCTGAGAATTGAACACCGATCAAACCTCTTGTACTCCGGTGAGGCAGGGAATTCGATTTAAGGAAACCATGTAAACACGGGCCTTCAGTTTGATTAATATACTTTGATTCTCCAACATTTTCCCTACAAGCTTAAATCGAATTCTTTTCTTGAATTAAATTATTTCTGTTCATTGTTTCTGGAGCAAAAAAAANTGATTCTCCAATATTTTCCCAACAGATTGGCTCTCCGCCTTCATAACAATAAGTTGTTCCAATTTCTTGGAAGAGATTCTACACGGTGCGATGGCCTCACTAGGGTTGAGTTCTTCATATGGATCAAGCAAAGCCTTCAAGGTAGGACAATAAAACGATGTACTTCAAAATATTTCTTGAGCTCTTCCGCAACATATATGGGGAAGAATCCACTCGAACGTGTCTTCTTACACTCCTCGTAACCATTAGTGCCATCAATCAATATCTCGTATTCTCTCTTTCGTTCATGGAACTTAACTTTTTCACTAACTCGCCAAATATTCCGAAAAGCACCATCGTCTCTTTACTTTACAGCACTTTGATTCTACTCGATTGATGTACTTGATGAAAAAAAGGAATTTATATTGTAGTTTTGGAGATTTAGAATGCGAAATAATTACAATGCTATAATTAAAAATAAATAAATTTCAAGTCTCACAAGAAGTTCTTTAAAACAAATCGGGCCAACAATGTAAATCAATTTGATTTACCAAATGACATTAGGAGTAGAAGTCATGGAGTAAGTATAGGACACTAATGGCATAGTTAGTGGGACTATATGAAACACAAGACATGCGCAACCAAAAACTCTTCATTAAACTCTGCAAGGCACATGAGAAATCTAAAACGATGTATCATCAATCATGTTGTGAAAAATGTTACTCTTGGATAAAATATAACCATCACATGCTCTATTGCAAGAAGACTGTAGGGATGTTTTTTCTTTAATTCCTCTACGAAATCTTGAGAGGTAATTTAATCCCATGAGAAGTTCGAAAATAGCTGCTTCCGTCTTTACTTGCTTCGCAAAGTGAAGGGTCTGAACAAGAAGCGTGTTTGACCCAAAAATCACTCGATTCCTTTCAAAGTTCTGAAAAGAATGCCATCTTATTGTGTCAAGAGCAAGTGGAGACAACCATTCCAGTGTTCTTGCCAGTGCTAACTTCATAAGGAGAGCTTTCCTCCGTAGTATAGTCATTGAACCTGAGGATTTTGAAAATACCTTGAGCTTTGCACTCAGATGGTTTCTGATACTTGTTGGTAACATATTGTAAAGATCGTCTCTCGAGTCATCACTGATCAATTCAGGAACTGAAGCTAGCTTCTTGATTATTAGGATGACATTTGCATAGTGGAAAGCCAAAGCAGCATTACCGAGAGTAGATGGAGGGGCATTTAACAGTTTCCGCTTGGAATTGAAGAAAGATTGTTTAGTGGAAGTTGTGCCACAGTATTGAGTTTGAACTGAAATGTTGTCATCAGTGTCTTTGTTAAAAGTATCATTTGACCCCAAAGTGCCACTGCTTGAAGGTGTATAGCTCCTTTTAACCAGCGAGTTATTTCCACCAGTCGCCTGTCCTTTGAAGCCATAGGGAGCTAATCGTCTACCTTTAATTTGAGTACTTTTCTCCGAATGGATGGATGATGGGGAAAGAACAAGCAACTGCTTATTCCTTGATCTAATCTTGTCATCAGACGGGGCAAGATCAGAAAATGAACTATGCAACTTGTTTTCAGATGTATAAACTGACAATTGTATCCGAGCTGAGACAGAATTTCCACGTATAAGGGAATCACTGCTATGGTCCTCAATTTTTCCGATCTGGTTTGTTCTATGTAGATGCTTGATCCTCTCAAGAATCGTAAATAGAGACCTCAAAAGCAGCCGTACAATATAGTCAT